AGGGGACGCAGAGAGGACAAGGCGGAATCGCCTGTGTCTACTGGGCCATGGAAAGCCGATGCAGAGAGGAGGGCACCAAAACCGCCCGCGCGGAGGAAAGAGATCTGTGAGAAAAAAAAGACAACGCGATTAGGAGCAGAGTGGAAAAGTCTGACAAAGGTGAGGACGAATTCGTGGTAACTCGAGAGAGATGCTGAACGAGAATTATCAGTAGGCGTATGCACTGAGCAGAGCCAGTTGCCACCATCCGCACACTCCTAGTAACGGCAAGGAAAATATTTTGGACACAAGGTATTTCATCCTGATTTACGTATGCAGTTCACATACTGATAAATTTCTTGAGAATAAAAACAGCTTGTTCTGGCACGTTCAAACTAACTTGGAAGCATATTCTCTACTATGCAATTTCTTAACATTCGCGTTCCAGGTATTTGTATGGATGATGAAAAAACGTTTCCGAGCACCAGGTCAATTCGTTTTTGTCCTGAGCTTTCGGGGTCTGCGGGAGTCCACGGGAAACAAGCAACAGTTACCGAAGCCCGACACTGGTGATTAATGAGTTCGTTTCCCCGTCCCCCGTATAACGGTTGATTGGTTCCTGTGCCCTCTAACTGTTTCTTGATTTTCGCGGACAACTTTATCTCTGACGATGAACACCCGCAAGAGCCCGAAAGCTCGGGAAAGTAAACAAACTGATCCGTTGCTCGAAACCCCTTCTTCCTCATTCAGTTTTGTAAGTCTAACAAATGATGCCACGGGAAGGAGAAAACAAAACAAAAACAGCCAAAACTCCACAGAATTGAAGTAAACGCATGGCCTTTACCATCTTCTTGGGGATCTCGTCTGAGTCCTTCTGACGGTGCACGGCGAAAATGTCTACCAGGGCGTTGTCGGTAGGAGGCTCCGAGGAATCGAAGTAGAGGAACCCAGGAGCAGGATGGAGATAGCTGTACAGGGACTGTCATAGAGAAGACGCAAGTAAGCCAAGTCAAGTGGGAATCTGCAGTGCACAGCAAAAGAAAGTGAAAAGGAAAGGGCCTCTACCTGCAGAGCGTATAAAACTTGCGTGGGACCCACAAATTCTGCCTGATTGACGTTTTCATGAGATAACGCTGAGAGAGGCAGAGCGTCTGCAAGGGGCGTCTTAAGGATCTCGTGTAAGCGAGTGTTTTGGGGTGCAGGAGGAGGAAGAGGATCGCCGGATGCTTCGCATTCTTAAATTAACACAGGAGAGGTAGTAGAGCAAAAAAGGTCAAATGACAAGTTTACGAGGAAACAAGGCAGAAAAGATAACTTCAAGCCATTATGAATTCTGCGCTATAGATGGCCTGCTAATCGAGAAACAGCC